TAGTTGAACAAATACAAACACACATAAAATCTTCAAATTTTAAAGCACAGGAAAAATAATTCAAAATTTGGCATTCAATTGGGCTAAATCTCTATCATCAGTAGTCTATTAAAAAAAAATGTATTTTAGTTTTAACACCATTTATTAAATGAAAATGTGCAGAATAACCATCATGTACTAGCATCCACATAGGATAATCAATTGATTGTAAAAAAGCGGGCATGCAAGTTTTCCAAAAATCAAAAGGAATGTTATCAAATAGAGGTGGTCTAGTGATTGAGTATCCTTTCATAGTGTTACGATTACCAAAGTTAGCTATAGATCTTTATTTTTATAAAAATTTTCTAAAACATAATTTATGAATCCCGCTCTGGTACCACTTGAAAATTTGTAAGGGTTGTTAAAAATTTATGAACTAGCCTGAGGCTAACAAAGAGGGGGTGAATTGTTTATTTAAAAATTTTTTAATGGAAAAAGAAAATATTTTTTAAATCTTTTTTTAATATTTTAAAATAAATGATTTATGCAGAAGCAACAGTAATTTCATAATAACAAAAATCAAACATTTTGAGCACATAACAAATTATAAAATAATATAGAAATTAAATATGAAAAAGTAAATAGAAAGAACACATCAGATTTATTATGGTTTGGTTAACTTGACCTACGTCCACTACCCAAAAACCTCTTTTCTAAGTATTGCACTAAAAGTAGTGTCTCTCTTTTTACCCCCACAACAAGGAAAGAAGCCCTTACAAAATATTTCTACCAACCTGATAAGGCAGAGTACCTTAAATCCTTTTACTCCTTCTTGGAGTAGGTAGAGAATCTTGGAATCCTTTTACTCCCTCCTGAGTAGGCAGAGAACCTTGGAATCCTTTTACTCCCTCATGGAGTAGGAAGAGAACCTTGGAATCCTTTTTCACCCTTCTGATGAAGGTAAAGAACCTAGATCTAATGCTGATGAATATCTCCCCTAGAGCCACAAAGGAATTAGAAAAGCAACTTAAAGAAGATGGTGGAATCCTTGCTTGGAGCAACCTTTGTGAATCTTACAACTCCACCTCACAAGGATTTCTCTCTCCCAAGCCTTTCTCTTCCTTCTCTAAGCTCTCTCTCAGATTAACTCCACAACGAAAGATTATCTTATGTGACAATAAGAGAGCTTAAATAAAGAGCCTCAAAAGAAGCCCTAATTTTTAACTTGTCATCAAAGATCATCTAGCACGATCGATAGATCGTCATGTATGATGGGTGGTGATCTACATATCATCTTGCAACCCTCTCGAGATGTCTAGTATGATCTCCTGGATGATTAAAAGAAAATTATGGTTTTCTTCTTGGAAGATAGGGAATCATCCTATGAAATAAAATAGATTGTTCAGTATGATCTAAGTAGATTGTCATGTATGATATGATTGAGCAATCTAGCCATAATTAGTCTCATAATCATATGATTAATTTAGGCATGATTATCATAAATTATCAAGGATGATTTATATTATCCTATATGATTAGAACAAAATTTAAAAGCTAAAATATTATCTAAATTGTGATTGGCGGCTATTTTTTATAATATGAACTGATCATCCTGTATGATATAGATTGTACAATTCAATTCATTTAATAACTTTTAATTAACAATTATGCCCTGATTAGGGTTTCTATTTTTAATTGATCCTCCAATATGATTGAAATCATCATGTATGATTAGGTCATAAAACATAAATTTCTCTAACTCACCAAATCACTCCCCATAAGTGTGTGTGTGCAAGGTTACTTAAATTGGGATCCACCAGATACATGACTTGACTCAAGAAAGATAAAAAGTATATTTAATTTAAAATTACAAATAGACTCAACCCTAGTCTACTTGATCTTGAGCTAATTTGCACTGCAATTGAACTTTTGGACCTGAAAGGTTAGTAATCAGGACAAATAAAATAGATATGCAATATTAACAGTAATAAAAAAATAATAATATTTGCTATCATCAAAATCACTATACTTGGGCATAGATTTGCAACATGGCTAACATTATAATGAGAAAACAAATATTTGAAAAGGAAAGGAGTGTGGATAACACATTTATAAGGGGAGGTTTGTTGAAACATGTTCAATATGAATTAGGTTATTAGACCTAAGATTATGTCCCAGCGGCTAACCAAGAGGATGTGAATTGGTAATTAAAAATTTATCCCTCTTTTTGAAATTAAAAAATGTGAATAACTTTAGTGAACTTTTCTAGAAAAGCTTTTTCAACCACAAGTTAAAATAGTAAAAATAAATGCAGCATAAAATAAAAAGACACAAGATTTATAATGGTTCGGTCAAACACGACCTACATCCACTTCCCGGAGTCACCCTCCGAGTATTGCACTAATACCACTAGTGACTCTCCTTTTGCACCCACAGCAAGGCGGAGAACCGTTAACAAAAACTCTCTTCCACCACTACACAGTGTGGCAGAGAACCGTCATCCTTTTACACTCTCCAAGTGTAGGCAGAGAACCGTCTGTCCTTTCACACTCTCCCGATGTAGGTAGAGAACCCTTCGGCTGTTCACACTCTCCTAGTGTAGGCAGAGAACCCTTCAGCTGTTCACACTCTCCTAGTGTAGGCAGAGAACCCTTCGGCTGTTCACACTCTCCTAGTGTCGGCAGAGAATCAGATCTTCTTGACAGATCTTCTCACAAGAAATCTAGAAGGACGAGAGAAAAGTATGAAGTAATTACAAATCACAAGTGGAGATTCTTACCTTTGAGTACCAAAGGAATCCTTCACGCTCCAATCGTAAGAATCCTCCTTCAAATAGTCTCTCACACTCTCTCCTTCACTCTCCCTTCAGTTGACACGAAGATCAGTAGGAAAAAAGATTAAGAGATAGTTTTATTTGGACTTTATATAGGAAAGACATGAAAAATTATCCAAAGACTGCTGATTTTCAAGTCTGTACATAGTGGATTGTCCCGTACGATCGTCAGATCGCCCCGTACAAATCTACTTAAATCAGTTGCATACGAACCCAATATATATTGGTATGAACTGACTTCGTACCCGATCATCGTCCCGTATGAACTATATTCGTCTGTTATGAATAGTTATTTCATGGGTTGGTTTTGATAAACTACAAGATATTACCAAAATTTCAAAAGATAGAGCATTTCGTCTTGGGATGAATGGGAGTTCGTCTGGATGAAAATTTTTCAGAGAGCATTTCGTCTTGGGACTAATAGGAGCTCGTATGGACGAAAATTTTCTAGAGAGCATTTCGTCCTGGCATAAATAGAAGTTTGTCTGGACGAAAATTTTCTAGAGAGCATTTCGTCCTAGGACGAATAGAAGTTCGTCTGGACGAAATTTTTTTAGAGAGCATTTTGTCCTGGCACGAACAAGATGAATCGTCTGGACTATTTAGTACAAAGTGAGAATCCAGAGCAGATCGTCTCGGGACGAATTGAGAAATTCGTCTAGACGATCAGGACTTTAAAAAATTTTCTCACTTCCTGTTCGTTCCATTGCTCTTCCATGGGGATTCACTGACTTGATCATCCAGTACGAACAAGGTTCGTCCAGTACGACTAGTGTGATTTTTAAAGATCTCCCCAAGTATGTGTGTGCTAAACATATTTAATTAAAATCATATTCTCTCAAACTCAATTACAATAAAAATTACAAACTTCAATTTATAAACTATCTCATGCTAAATTTTGATTTGAAGTCTTCATTAGTCTGAAGTTCGATTATCCTGAAATGTTAGTCCATACAAGAGCAAAAATAATTTTTCCAAAAAGTGTTAGGAGAAAACAAAGCTTAAAACAATAATATTTGGAATCATCAAAACTATACAAGTTGCAAGAAGTTAAAACATGCAAATAGTAACTCTCTTAAGAAGGTTCACTTTGGGATGGGTTCATCTACAAGATCAGTTTGGGATCCTTCATTTGGGGTGATATCTTTCTACTCTTTTCAACTTGTACTTTCTCTCTTTAGTAAGAAATGGAAATTATCTTATACTATTTTATTCTATGGCCTATTAAACACTTAGTTTTAGACTAATGCTATAAAAACCTATGTAATTACTCATGTAGACTCTTATACTTTAAATTATGAATGGTTGTTTTCAATATCTCTTCCTCTTAATTTAATCTATGTAGTGGAAATGTACACAATTAAAGCTTAGTGTGCTACGTTACCTTGACGAATGAATATTAAAATAATTAGGAGATTTGAATAGAATACTTGCTTTCATAGACATATGATCTTTAGCCTTCTAGGATATATGGAGAAAAAACAGCTATAGGAAGGGCATAGACATATTTTCACATCTTTACAAACCTGATAGAGATCTAAAGATGCACACGCTCTGGTTTAAAAATAATTTAGGAGAGTCTGCTAAAGAAAGTTTAGGATATTTCACTGTTATTAGTCTGAAACACTTCATCTATTAGTATATTCCTTTTCCTCTAACATTCTCATTCTAGATAGAATACAACCCTGATTTTAACACGTGGAGTGTATACATGAAAATTCAATTAAATTTTTATTTTTATTTGTCTTGTCGGCCCAACCGACCCTACCTCGCCTAAGATGAAATTTTTGAATTCGTAGGAGTTCAAAAGCTCGGAGTTAGGTCAATTTTCCCTTTTACTTTTTTTCCGGCCATTTCACTGCTTACTTTCTCTCTAGTTCAGTATTACAGACGCTTCGCTGCAAACAGGTGAATTCATTCGACATTCCATATGGTGCAAAAGTTCATCTCAATGTGCAAACATGTGCAAGAACTTGCAGCGTTTTTATGCGCTTTTGCTGCATATTCACGGGTATCGATACATGGGCGAGTTCTTAAGTTTTAAAAATTAGGTTGTATAGCTTTAAAATTTATGAGTTGCTTTTGTTCATTTTAGCCTCATTTGAGCTAGCTGAATATTTACGTATTCAAACTACTTATCATGATTTAATTGAGTTCAGATATAAAGATATGTTGAGCTTCAAACAAATAATTTATCCGTTCTTACACCTCCTTTACAGTTCCTCTACCGTCTTATATGTCTACGCTCCTTCCACAGTTACTCGTGCCGCGCCTTCTTCATCCTTTGATCCTTAATCTACATTGCTTTCCAACTTGTCGGGTACAGAGCTCGACTTACGAAATTTAAGTGGGTCGGACTAGTAGGCTTAAGCGAGGGTTTTAAGAGGGAAACATAAAAAATGGCGTCGAAAACCCTAGCTCGAACTGGAGCTTCTCTGATCAATCGTCTACTTACCAATTCGCTCAATGCCTCGTGGCAGAGCAACGCGTATGTTCTACCGCAGATCTCTATGAATCCTCCGCTTCCTTGTTTCCTGCCCGAGCCCCTAAACAACAAGAATTTTCAGACGGAAGGATGCAGAAACGCTGAGTCCTTAAAAATGGTTGCTTCTCCTGAGCGGTTTATTTTTCCCTGCGGTCTCCCCTTTCTTCGTTTCTTTATCGAGGATGGTAAGATCCTTTTTGTGCTTGCTTCAAATGTCTATTTTCCTACTTATATTTTTACCTCTTGAGTTTGAATTTGCTGTTTGGCATGATTCGATGCGCTTGTGCTGGATATTTTTCTAGGTTTTGAGAGATTGCTTCATGTTGATGCTTCTTTGGATGTATTTTTCATAAAACCCCTGTTGGAAAATGGAAATGAAATAATTTTGGAAAAATTAGAGCTTTTGAACTCATAGGTACCTGCTTTTCTTAGTTAATGAAATCAGTGTTGGGCGTTTTTGTCCGAATTGATGTAAAGTGACATTTATATTTACCAAAAGTTCGTGTTTTATACAAATAAGTATAGCACAGTTCTTTACACTGAGATTCATCTATTATATTCTGCTTTTTTATTGTTTCTTTGTTCTTTCTCCAGGATTTATCAATCTTTCAAATAGACATTGCAGAAAAACTTATTTAGTCATTAAACGCACTCCATCTAGTGTTCCTAATTATGTCATGTTTATATTAATTATCAACATTAATTTTTTTTTTCGGTATTGGTTACAAAGATGCCTAGAAAAAAATTTAGGTTCATGATTTTTGTAGATGAAATATTTTAATATTGGGTGAGACCTCTATTTGAATACATGAAAAGTTAGAGCAATGAAGAGAATGGTTAGATGATAAGGGAATAGGTTTATTAGAGCAAAGAATGAGTTATAATATGTAGGTTCAGTTTTTTTTGATATTTTTTGTTATCAAAGAATATTTCTTGAGAATAATGTGATACATAATTGTGAGATTTCAAGTATTGATGTAAAGAGATTGCTTCATGTTGATACACACACATGTCAACTTTGAGGGTACTTGTCAATAAGTTTATTATTTATGGCCTAGAGTTTGTTTATTATTACTTCTATATGAAGATAAATGTTTTGATCATCTTTAATATGAGTAATATTTTATTTGATAAAAGATTGGATCTATAGGTGCTTTGTTATTTATTTTTATATTTTTTGAAGAAATGCAAATTGCATTAAGAGCAAGGAAAATAAAAACTATTACAAACTAGAAAGAAAATAAAGCTACTAGGCATCCCTTTTTTAACATTGAGAAAGGAAGCACTATTAAAAAACTACAAAGCATAAGAAAAATTTATTTGTGAATTAGAAAATATCATAATGAAAATAAGATCCACTACTCCTTACTTTGAACCAATGAGGGTGTTGGGGACACCAAATTTTGAACAACCCAATAGGTTTTTTGTATCCTAGAGTTCCAAACCAGGTAAAAAGTGAAAACTAGGAGTCTCAAATTCCATTAATCTAATTCCACAATGCAAATAAAAAACTAAGCTAATATCCTCAATACCTATTGTCACAATAGAGCCAAAAGCTTGAGATCCATACACGGTAAAGTAGTCTTCCCCTTAGCTGATAAATCCATGCTCAAGGAAAGACAACAACTCTCCAAAAAGACAACTATGACCTAAAAAACAAATGCTGTGGCCATATTAAAAAACAAGAACTTCTCAGCTTCTAAAGTTCATGTACCTGATGTATCCCCAATCTCCAAGCCTTCTACAAACAGGCCTGGAACAACAAAGAAAAAATCACAAGAAACCATAAGCTTTGATGGAATGAGATCCCACTTCAAGCCCTCATCAGAATATCTTGGAAGTCCCAAATTGACTTCCTTGTAAACTCCAATCAAAGGCAGCCAAATGAGTGCAATAATGCTGACATTCAAAACCAAATATGCAAGAACCATAACCTGTACTCCCTTAAAAGTAGATGAAAGTTTGATTCCACTATCCACTTTATTAATCTTTTGAATATACTCAAACTTCTTAGTTTTACTGGACATAACAGCTAAGATATCTCTTATCTTAGCCATTTTCTGATCTAAGAGTTTCATAAAGGAGACATCAAAAACTTCACCACCACCACCAACAACAACAACATCAAGCCTTTGTCCCACTACGTGGGGTTGGTTACATGAATCCTTTTTCTCCAATGTGTTCTATTAACAGTCAAATTATTGTTTAAATCTAATAAAGAAATATCATTTCTAATATTTTCTAACCAAGTTTTTTAGGTCTACCTCTACCTTTCTTAACATAATTCAAATCTAATACCTTAACTTTCCTAACCGGGTCATCGGAAGGCCTCTGTTTTATGTTACCAAACCATCTAAGGCAATTCTCTCTAATCTTATCTTCCACTGGAGCTACTCCAACCTTTTCACGTATATGTTTATTTCGTATTTTGTCTCTAAGGGTAAATCCACTCATCCACTTGAGCATCCTCATCTCTACAACACTTAACTTAGTATTATGCTTCTCTTTTAATGAACAACATTCGGCACCATAAAGCATTACAGGTCTCACCACCATCTTATAAAATTTTCCTTTAAATTTGAGGGGGACTTTTCTATCACACAGTAAGACCGATGAATTCCTCCACTTCAACTATCCAACTTGAATTCTACTAGTAATATCTCCATCTATTTCACCATTACTTTGAACAATTCGGTAGATCCAAGTTATCTAAAACGTGTACTCTTATTAATGACTTGATCGCCCAAAGTCACAATCCCCTCACTTGGTTTATTGCTACTAAAATTATACTCCATATATTCAGTTTTAGATTTACTCAAGCGAAAACTTTTAGACTCTAAGGTTGACCTCCATAATTCATGTTTACCTTCAACTCCCTTTCTAGTCTTATCAATAAGAAGAATATCATCAGCAAAAAGCATACACCAAGGTACATCCTCTTGCAAATGTCTAGTGAGAACATCCATGACTAAAGCAAAAAGATATGGGCTTAAGGTTGATCCTTGATGTAATCCAACCAAAATAGGAAAATACTTGTTCAAACCACCTTGTGTTTGAACACAAGTAATAGCTCTAACATACATATCTTTAATGATTTGAATATAAGCATTATTAACTCCTTTCTTTTCAAGAACTCTCAAGAGCACTTCTCTTTGAACTTTATTATATGCTTTCTTTAAATTAATAAATATAATATGTAGACCCTCTCTATTATCTCTATATTTCTCCTTCAAACCTCTCAATAAATGTATGGCTTCCATAATAGACCTACCCAACATGAATCGAAATTGATTAGCATCACCGCAACCTACGCTCTATAACTCGCTACCATAGTTTTGAAGTATGACACATTAACTTAATTCCTCTATAATTTGCATAATCCTGTGCATCACCTTTATTCTTAAAAAATGGAATCAACACACTCATTCTCTACTCATATAGCTTCTTTTTAGTCTTCAAAACATTATTAAAAACTTAAGTAATCTATGAAATTCCTTCATCTCCTATGCATTTCTACACCTCTATTGGAATATCATCTGGTCCAATAGTTTTTCCACACTTCATTTTCTTTAAAGCCTCTATAACTTCGGTTTTTACTAATACGACAATAAAAACAAAAATCTTTATTATCATTTAGGGTGCTAAGGTTACTAAAGTCAGTCGTATTTTCACATTGTTCATTAAAAAGTTTAGCAAATATCTCATCCACCTTTGTTAAATATCATCTTCTAAGAAAAATACTTTTTGATCTTCTTCCTAAATATATTTCACATGAACTAGATGTTTACTCTTCCTATCTCTTTGTTTGGCTAACTTATACATATATATTTCTCCCTCCTTAGTATCTAATCTAATATATTATGTAAATCATTAAAAGCTAAAACTTTGTATCGCACTATCGCATACTGCTTTCTTAGATTCCTTACGTGCCTCATTATAACTTTTCGAATTATCATAATTTTTATATTTAAACCAATTTTTATAACAAGTCTTCTTATTTTTTATCTTTTGTTGCACATTTGGATTCCACAACCAATTATTTTTACTATTAGGAGATTTTCCCTTTAATACTCCAAGCACTTCTTTTATAATATTCTTGTATGTGTAAAGGTACAAGAGAGTCAATCAGCACTATCACCATATCTTCCAAAATTTAAAAGCCTAAATGCCGTTACTATTGAATAGTCGCAAAAAATTTAACATTATGTAAAACATACATCGTTGAGTTATTGGATTTCCTTAAACCATAAAATAATATTTGTTGAGCATCAGAAGATTGTATAATATTGAAAATGCAGGGTAACTCTAATAAAATAATTGATATATTTCAGTGTCACATTGATTCTTTAGAAAATTTTTAATGAATACCAATTAATGTACTTTGATTGAAATCTTGACAGTGACAAGAGAGAATCCCTTGTCTATTAAGATAACACCTGATTCCAATACCAGTGGAGCTAATCGAAGGTCCTAGTGGCTAGATGTGTTGCATTGAATTGCACGATCTAGGTCTGATAATGCAATTTTCGGCGTAGATTTATCCAACCTATTGACATATGCTTGCTTGGGTATTGGAACTAATCGAAGGTCCTAGTGGCTAGATGTGTTGCATTGAATTGCACGATCTAGGTCTGATAATGCAATTTTCGGCGTAGATTTGTCCAACCTATTGACATATGCTTGCTTGGGTTTGATCCTCTACATATACGAGACAAAGTTGATACGACTCATAATGGAACCTTGCCATTCTTGGTCTAATTTGTCTATTCTTTCCAACGATCCATACCATTTCTATCAGCAATGGTTATTAGGCAATGAGGTTTTGGTCGACTTTAAGCGTACATCATATGCTAAATATGCTTGACAATAGAAGAAAAAACTTACAAAAAATGCAAAATGTAAAGAAGATTCATGCAGGTTAATGCATGTGTTTGTTGCCTCACCTCTCATAACATCATGATTGTCCTGTGTTATGAAATATTAAATATCTCAAAACTAGAGATCATTCGGACAGCCTAAGATTACTTATTATCCTTTGATATCTACGATGGGTGTGGTTATTTTTGAATCTTAATTGAAGGGTCATCACCAAATCAAGGCCTCTATTTTCAAAGCAATATACTCAAATAAAAATGATTGATTTAGTTATTGCAATTCATAACCAATGAAGTACTTAAACAAATAAATTATCTTCAGCCATCATGAGAGATACTCCAAAGTTCTCGTCATATAAATAATTTGCTATACTATGATAATAGAATAACTGGAAGTGTTTAGTTATATCATTAATTCTCTATATTATAAAGATGAATATATTTCTAGATAAATTATGATCGTTTTAATTACCAAAAAAATCAAAATTAGATTGGATTCTTACTAGAAAAATGCTCCCTTAGATTCCCACTTAAATACAAGCATTCTTCCTAATTATGGGTACCCCTAATTTGATGGATTGCCGCCATCATCTTTGCTCCCTAAGTCTAAGAAATAAGTTCCAAGCACCAGCTTGAGGCCCCTTTATACTTCACCTTGCTTGTTTTTGGTGTTGGGTATAATGTTAGATTATCTTTGTTGGTGGTAATTTATTCATCCAAAGTCGAGCTTTCATAAACCAAGTCAAGCCTAGCCCCTTTAAAAATATAAAATTTCAGACATATAAAAGCCTAACAATTTAAGCAATAGTTAGTTATTTGTGTTTAGAGCTTCCATTCGTCCACCCTCTACCCTAAATTGTTTAAGGTGACAATTTTAAGTTTTAGTAAAACTCTTAAAGATCTAATTTTATACTTAGTGTATCCATATGATTACACATGGAAATATTATGCTAATAAATATGTGACAAACTCCCTTTTGATTGTAAATTGTGCACTTGACTCATGGTAACTAGATGAAGGGACAAACTCGGACGTGCTCCATGGGTAAGCCTACGAGTTTTGAGTAATAAGGCCCTACTAGGAAATGATGCTCCTTGTTGGAAGCGGTTGGCCTTAAAATTGGCTTCTTTGCTGAGTTTTTCCCCTATGTTTATAAGGTTTCCTTATACAACGCAATGTATGGTTGCTAACATGAAATTTTCAGCCAGGATGGGTTCTCTGTCATTTGACTAAGTAATGTAAGGTCCATGAATACACAATATGAAACCATAGGATATTGATTGAGCTTGTTATCTTTCTCTTATCATATGCTCCTAACCAGTGGTATTGCACTTTAGTCCAAGAATTAAGGATCACAACAAAGCATTATAGATCTTATAGTTTAGCTTTAATCAGAAATTAGCTTATAATTAACCTTGTAAGTTTGTTCCATCAAACCTCTCAGAAGTAAGGATTTTTATTTAATCTCTCTCTTAAATTAATACTCTTATTTTTCTTGTGATAGTTGAATTAATAATTTAACTTAATTTATGGATAAAAATATCATTTGAATTTAAGTTTTGGATTAAATTGAATCAATTTTTAGTAGCTGGGGGACTAAATTGGGGCAATGCAAATTCTGGAATTAAATTCGAGATTAATCAATAGTCGGGGGACTATTTTGAGCTTTTACACTTTAAATTTAAGAACTTATTTATTTGAATTAAATTGTAATCTTATTCCTATGAGGAGCAATTTAAGTGTTAATATTTGGCTAAAATCAATAAATGAATCACATTTGAGGCAATATTCCCACTTATTTTTCCTGACCTATGGATTCGTCTCTTTTTCCAAGTTCCCCAAACACAACTCCCAATATTTGGAAAGATGATGATATACATATATGCTTGATGTTGTCATTTTCTTATTGTGAGACTGACTTCATTCCATTTTCTTTTACCCTTCTATGAAGTATGCCCATCTCTTCTTAGACGTCTGAACATTTTTCTATTTTACAAGGTTTAAAATTGCGTAACTGCGCCTCGAGGCGGTTTTCGTCCGTGAGGCGAGGCGTAAGCCTCGAGGCGGTCTGAGGCGTAAGCCTCACTAACACAGAATTGCGTAAATGAAAAATTAAGGATTTTAGCAGGAAAATAATAGCAATAATGGAAAATAAGAAAGTAGATGCAATAAAATTATGTCTCAAAGTACAAAAACACAAAATATCAGTTTATCAAAACTCCCAAAATACAAAAAACACATAAAATGAAGTCATATCCCATCACAAAATATCAGTCTTCAAGTGAATCTTCTTCTCCAATTGTATCTATGAATGCCATGTCATCTTCATCTTCAACATGGCTCACTTTTCTCTTCCCTGTTCATTAAAAGAAAAGAATATTAGCATATTAATTGGATGAACCACTCATTATCAAGCAGACTGGCAGAGAACATATACCTTTACTTGCAGAGCTAGTAGATGTGTGTACTGCGCAAGGTGTCCAATAGAGGTGTGTCCTCTTCTCCATCAACATCTGACCAGCTGCTTTGTATGCACTGGCATTATCAGTCACTACCTGGACAACCAACTGCTCTCCAATCTCCTCAATAACTCCATCAAGTAAATTAAAAATGAATGTAGCATTCTTCACCTCATCAGAAGCTTCAACAGATCTTAAGAACACTGTACCATAGGGATTGTTGACAAGGATGTTTATCAAACTCCTACTCTTCATGTCAGACCATCCATCTGACATTATAGTCACACCTGTCTCAATCCATGTCCTTTTAATCTCACCAATGCTTCGCTCGGTGTTCTGCAACTCCTCTTTTAAAATCCAAGTGCGCAACTCATACATAGAAGGTGCTTTCAACCCTCTTCCATACAATCCTACAGACCGCATCATACTGAAGTAGGCAGGCGATGTAGCAACATTAAATGGTATTGCATTTTCAAAAAAAAACCTCCCAATGTCCATGCAAACCTGTCGCCGACCCTCTCTAGTACCAGCTGCAGGCATCATCTCTGCTTCTCCTCTATCTGCTCCTGCAGTAGTCATGTACTGATCCATAGGACCCCGTGCACCTCTATTATGTATAGTGGAGGAAGAGCCCTTTCCACTCTCGCTCCCAAAATAGGCACCTTGGTCGACCCTTTCATCAAATTGCTGCTGTTGTAAGTGTTTGACAGTGGTAGTTTTCTTCATGTAAGCACTTATTTCTTCCTTTCACATTGTCCGGCACTTTTGCACAAGGTGCTACGTTCTTGTGAGAGCATGATAAGTGCTCCTTCATGCGGGTTACTCCGCCCTTCACAACTTTCTCACAAAAATTGCACTTTAAATAGACATAGCTCTTCTCTCCGCCGCCAATGTCAACTTGTACACTATACTTCCAAGAAGGGTCCCTCCGCAATGACGTATTCGTCTTTTCTTTACCTCTAACCATGTCTCCTAAAGCAAAAAATCAAATACACTAAAAAAAAATAAAAAAAACTCAATTGCGCAACAGAGGCGCGCCTCAGCTTCCATGAGGCGTACGCCTCACCACTGCCTCCTATTGCGTATGCCTTGAGGCGTTTTTTTCAGGAATTGCGCAGAGGCGCGCCTCTTATTGCGCAATTTTAAACCATGCTATTTTATCATTCACATTTTTGTATGCCATCGGCTGCATTTGTGTGAGAATTTTTTTTTTGTCCTACATTTTTCTTAAGCTCATCGTAATGTTCGGTCATTTTTTTTATAGAAATTTGTGATGCAACAAGCGTGCTTACTGATTGCCTATACTCAGTGTCTACTGTTTCCGTAAAAAAGTACAAACAAACTATCTAATTAGGAGTTAACATTGCATGCAACATTGAACAATAATCAATGAATTATTATTCATAAAGAAGAATTTACAAGTTAGGATATGGCTAATTATAATGAGTTGATGATAACATGTTCGAATACTTTGTATTACGCGGCTAGTTTTGTCTACTGCTTGAGGGATATTAATCTTGGTTGCTATTGACACTTCCTCGAGGTTTTTTACTTGTAAACTCTATAATGCATCTTTTCTATATACTACTGTTTCTTGATTGTCTTATTTCCGCTCGTCAGGTCATGCATTTTTTATACTTATGATTTTTTATTATTTTCCTGTAATTTTGTTCTTGTTTCTTTTAACTTTTTATGGCCCTGGATGCCATATTTGTTAACCTATTGCCTGTTTTATTTTTAATTTTTTCAGGCCCTGATGCTTTACAGAATGAGGGAATGAACCTACTTCCTAAAAGAACCTACCAGCCCAGCACCATCAAGCGGAAGAGGACTCATGGTTACCTTGCAAGGTCTTTCCTTCCATCCCTCTTGCAATCCCTCTTTATCCTTCCTTCCCTTTTATCATGACCGACAGCTTCTTCATTTAAGAACTTATAAAAACTTAGGAATATTCATCCAATAATCAAATGCATTTAAATTATAAATATAAAATATATGTCCAGATATTCTGATGAAAAATATATTAGGATGGGCTTCAAAATTGCTAGATTTGTGTGAGCCGTATACAACATTAATCTTAACACATCCAAGAATTTTATAGTCAATTATGTTGCATTGTGCATCAGGATCTCCTACACAATCTCTTTCCTTTACATTTTTTTCATTGATCTTTGTTATATGAAAAGATAACTATGATTTTGATTATGCACTCTATTAGAGTTTTAAACCTTGAATTAAATTTTTTTAGTTTTTGAGTGGATTTGATTATTTTGATTAGTGAAATAAATGAATTAAACCTGCTTGTTACTGGGCTTCTTTATGCTTTCTGTTCATTATTGTTTTCTAACATGTTTGATCATTGCATAAATTATTATAAAGTAGGTGAAGCTTAATTGATTTTCTCAACGCAGTAAAAAAATAAAGATGGTGTAGATGATTGTTAATGTACATTTTTATTGTAGATTTAGTAGCTACATTACATATATAACCAGGCATATACGTAAACATTGCTTGTTGTATTCTGATGAGCTGTAAAAGTGGATTTCGCCTAAAATGGATGATAATTCTCTTTTGCAAACAGCAAACTGTGCACTAAAGAAATACACCATGGTATTTCATTTGAGTGAATCTTATGTATATTTGTTGATTATCTGTGCAAATTCCCATCTCATTTTTCAGCACTAGGGCAGGAAAATTCAAGAACTTACTTGTATATAAAACTATTTTTTTTTATTTTTTTATTTTTTATTTTTTTAAGTAGATATTGGCACAACTCACAAATTCATTTACTGTCCCTCAATTTTTTTTCTTTAGTTATAATGCCACTTTGTCTCGGTAGAGAACTTTTATTTGGTCCGGTCACAAGACATAGCTCCACATTCGGCCGCCAGTAGAATCGCGCTACGTGTTCTCACTATTTATCACACGCCCCGATAACCCGACCCGGAACGGACCCAGGATGGCTTGGTATTTCTCGATTTTGCTAGGTATTGCTCGGTATTGCTAGGTATTGGTTGATTTTGCTTGGCAATAACCAATACCGAGTTGTACCTAGAAAAACTCGGTACAACTCGGTACAACTCGGTATTACTCGGTATTTGCTCGGTATTGGTCTTCACAGAGCGGTATTTCTCATTATTGTCATGCAATACCTAGCAATACCGAGCAATACCGAGTAATACCTCGCAATACGTGAACATAGCATTCCCAGGATCTGGTCCGGGTCAATTCGTCGGGCCGCGCGGTAGAGAGTAAGAGCACGTGGCGACATGTTATTGGCGGCCGAACGTAGCTCTACGTCCGGTCAAAGGACATAATAATTGTTCCTCGGTAGATGATAAGGACTCTAGAGGCTTCCATGAATTACAGTTGTTGATATCTAAGTAGAACCCAGAAACAGATTGCGGGAACTGTGATAGGCCAAGCATGAGAATTCAAATAGAAGTTGCTAATATATATAAAAACTGTGACATAGACATAAAATCAACAATTGCTTTTTCTTGTTAGCTGTGGCTAACTAGAAAGTTTGTATAGGTATAGAGATTTGTTGGCATCATTAAACCATATGAGCTTTTCTAATGTTTTATTTTTAATTTATTTATTCATGCACAGAAAAGCTACCAAAGGTGGGCGGAAGGTCATTGCCCGAAGGTTGGCCAAAGGTCGAGCAAGGATCGCAGTGTAGCACCCATTTGATTCTTGAGACTTGCATTAGCATTAGAAAACTAAAAGCACAAAAAAGTGGACAAACATGTATGGGTAACACCCTTTTGATTTGGGTTAATGATTTCTTTTAGTTACTAAATCAAGCTTTGTAATTCTCTTCTGTGAGCTCTGACCACAAATCATAATAATTCCTAGCTATGTGTTGCAATATCGCATTTGTAGTTTTAAAAAAAAAATGCATTTGTAGTTAGTACTCACTAAAATATTGTTATTGTTGCTATTACAAAATTATGTTGCTGTTGCATTCTATTGGTTGATCCCACAAATTTCCTAACCCTTCAATAGATTGATTATCGTTGAGTGCCTTTTAAAGTTTATCTTTAAGTTTCCATATAGTTCTCGTAATTGGTTAATTTTTTTCTCATTACAGCATTACATTGGTAAGAAGGCTTGCCTAGAGCAATAGTTTGGTTATTTCTATTATGATGAGTAGATTATGAGTAGATGACTTGAACAATTGGGTTAATGTATAGATCGAGAGAAAAGTAGAACCCTACACAGAATGCTACACAAATGACTTATGTCGAATGCCATCTTCCGATTGGTTGAAGGTGGGCGAGGCCGAAAGGGATAATTGAATAGGAGATCAGGCTTGGGTGCCCCTGTTGGCAAGTGTTGAGATGAGGGGATTAACGACTAGAAGGCTAGTAACTATCCGGGTACTTATGTGAGAGATCTTGGATGTGACGCATAGGTTTAACATTTGGTTCTATTTGTTCGACAACATTGAAAAGTGATAAATATTAAAATTTGAATTTTGAACTCATTTGCATGTGTTTGAAAGTGTTTTAATGCTTGGAAAATATTATATTTTAGAATGAGTCACAAGAGTTTGTAGTAGATTTTCATAAAATCTGAGAAGTGTTATTATTTAAGCGTCCTGATGTTGATTGTCTGAGTGCATTAGTATTGTAATATTAGGTGTTTAATAGCGACATTGAAGTGCTAGTCTCAAATTTTAAGAAAAATGAACCATCATCGTAGTGCTAGCTAGTTAGTACCTTCACAGCATTAGGCTGCCACTAACTATTCTTTAAGTATAAAATAAATCCATTTTTCTATTCCATTTCGTCAAATCGTAGTAGCCGCATAGAGAGAGAAAAAGAGGGATTTGGAGGCTTTTCGGAATTAGAAAATTTGTTTTTAGTCGCTTCGGGGATGTTTTAGTTGTCGACCCAGTTGAAAAAATTGTACGGGTCAAGGTAAGTAACATTATACTTATCTCAATTATTAAAAATATGAAAATTTTTTGAATTCTTTTATTAAATTTCTCTTTTTGTTATTGAAAAATGTGGATATTTTTGTATTGAAAAAGATATCATCTCTTAATTCTTTATAAGTTACAGTAATTGATATTATGAATGCTTTTAATTTTTTTTCTAAGGATTTCACATGGTATTTCGGAATTTAGGCAATTTTTATTGAATAGAAATTATTATGGACTTTGAAAAATATTGCTGTAGTATGATTAAAGTTTTCAAAATATTGTTTTACATAATCATTGATAATTAAGTTATGTTTTAAAACTATGGATTTTTTCTTAATAAAGATTTTTGTTGCCTGTAATTATAGAGAAATGTACAATTATGAAATGTGTATAATTATGCCTAAATTTTTACAGTATAATGATTTGATAAAATATGTGATTAAATATGTCTGTTTGGAGAAGGGGTCAAAATTCATTGAGATTAAGTATGTAATTGAGAATAGGAGATATAAGGGGCCAAAATTCGTGAGATTTTATGTTTAATAAGGATTGAGAGATATAAGAGGTTAGAATCCTTTGAGATTCTAACTGAGTTAGGGAATCTAGTGCCTCCAAGGCATGTTCTGGTGGATATAAGGCATGTTCTAGCAGCTTTAAGCTATGTTCTAGCAGCTATAAGTCATGTTCTAGTGCCTATGAGCTTATTCTAGTGTTATAAGCACAAGCGTTATAAGGGGCGAGAATACTTTGTAATTCTTTTTGGGTCTGGAGAAAACTATTATGCGCTACTCTGTCATATAAATTTTAATTATTGAATTACTCAATAGTTTTATTTTAATATTTAAATCCATATCATGCTCTTATTATTGCATAATGATTCATTATATTGCATTTAATTGCTTCTAAATATTTAATAAAAGAAATATTTTGAAATTTATATAAGTGTTTGTAGCCTGTTGAGCTGTTATAGCTCATAGTGCTTTTTCTTCTGATTTTTTGAATTTGGGAAAGAGAAGAAGTTGGTTGATTAGTAATTCAGGATTTGATATGAGTTTATAGTTATTTTTCTATTTTGATTAATGTACAATCATGATTAATTTTTAGATGTTTATTTTATTCTCTATGCTATAGCCATATATTGTAGTTTATATCATGTATATACATTTAGATGAAATGAAAAAAATATTGTAGATGAGTTAATTTTTAGTATTTTGGATGTTTTAGAAGCTCTATAGTCTTTTGTTTATTTAAAATCAGTATTAGGTGAGAATTTGAAATATTTTTAAAATTAGATCTTGGGATATACTTGTCATAGTTCAACGTGATTGGAATCCTATTGGGTAGGATTGTGACAAGTTTTTTGTTGTATCTGAGCAATAGTTTTATTAATCGTAAAATAGAGTTATAAAAATTGATCTATAAGTAAACTAGGGAAATTTTAGTTTATCTGGGAGTTCATTGTTATTTTTTTTCATAAGCATGTATGTTCATTTGCATATTCTGTATGATTATGGATCCACCATACCTAGACATGACATATATACAAAATGTCAGTCAGACAACTTATGTACAAATTATTACGTTGAGAGTAAGTATTGATACACTTTTGTTGTTTGGTAGTTTGATAGCCCATATGATGGCTGAGGCATATAGTAAGGTTCTTAGTGTTAGATCTAAAGAGGTAGACCAACTTTTGCAGATGTTTCTGAGATTGAAGCCTTCGAGGATTCAGGGCGATGTTGAGCCCAGTGCAACAGAGGATTTGTTGAGGATGTTAGAAACGATATCTGACAATATGCAATATCCTAATGAGAGGAAAGTATTGTTAGCAATGTTTCTATTAGATGGTGAGGTAGATCGTTCGTGGATGAGGCAAAAGGAGGAAAAATTTTAAGGGAGATTAAATTCTCTGATTAGTTTGATGGAGTTCTCTGATGTATTTAGAGCTTCATTTGTACCACCTTCTACATGTTAGTAATTGCATGATATTTCTCTAAGTCTGGTTCAGGGGATCAAGATAATCATGCAGTATGAGGCCTAGTTCACTCCTTTTGTTATATATGCTCTACAGCTGGTTAGCACTCATGTGGAGAAGTACTACGGACTTCTGAGAAGACTTTTATACAGTCTAAGATTGCCATGGTACCATTTAAATTATTTAATTTTTTTTAGCTTTTAAACCAAGCCCGATTGATTAAAAATGATTTCATAGTTGCTTAGTAGTAGTGGGATATTAGTACAAAGAGGTTATTAATGAGGCATATAATAGTTTATTTTTTGGGAAGAAAGGCGTAATAATACATGCAGAGTTTTAGAAAGGTGGATAGTTTGTGTCTATGGCTTCTCTAAGTAGGGGCAGTGTTGCTAGTTCTAGGAGTTTTGTTATTGGGTCACCTTTGTGCCAAAGTTGTGGCAGACGTCATTTCAGTCAGTGTTACAGAGTCATTGATCAATATTTCAAACATGAATCGGCGGGACATCAGAATGCTGAGTGCCCACAGGCAGGGTTTGATTGATGATTGAGAGTTCTGTTAGACCGATAGGGAGATCGAGGGAAGATCCACTCCATATATTTTTTGAGAGACCATATGGTAGAGGCAGTGGTTAGGGCGTAGAAGGTAGACCATGTTGTTAGAGAGAGGCTGGTGGCTCTATTACACCATCTCTAGTTCAACCATGAGTGTATAGTTTGACTCAACAGAAGGTTCATGATGTCTTAGATATTGTATAGTTATGGTTTATATTTTTAGGCACCCATATCATATTTTATTTAATTTCGGGGCTAACCATTCAGTTATTTTTTAGCATTTTTTTGATTTGCTACACTTGCTTTTAGTTTTACTACTTGTTTATCTCTTTGTTACTTTGTTAGCTTGAGATGGTATGATAACCAATAGGGTCTGTTTTTGTAATATTAAGATTTCTAATAGAAAGTGAAAGTCCAGTTTAGTTTTGGGTATGTATTCATTTAGTCGATATGAAGCTCATATTAATTTCCTAAAGAAGAAAGCTTTTTTTATTTCTAGGGAGTGAGAGTTATGTATTTGAGGGAGCTAGCGGAGTTTTATCCTGTTTAATTTTTGTGGTGAAAGCAAATTGATTGTTGAAGAATTACATGATATTTCAAGCATTCGTTAGGGATAGGAGTATAAATTCTTGTCCTCTATTTGATGTTCTGATAGTAGAAAAAATTTTGGAATTGGTTTCTATGGAGTTTGTCTTTTTGCCTTCAGATAAAGATAGAGTCTTGTATTGATGTATTAAAGAACACGACCCTGATTTACAATGCTTAGTTCAATATGGCTTCTAATAAGCTATAGGAGTTAAAGTTTAAGGTTCAGGAATTAGTTGATATAAAATTTGTTTGTTCTATTGTGTTTCCCTTGGGAGCACCTACTTTATTTGTGAAAAGAAAGGACAGCATGATGCATATTACGCATTGATTACTGGGAGTTGAACAAAGCCATTATCAAGAGCAAGTATCCTCTATCACGAATTAATGACTTATTTAATCATCTTGGATGTTCTTTTATATTTTTTGAAAATTTATCTCTGATATGGATATTATCACATGAAGTTAAGAGAGTCTAATAAAAAAAAGAGAGTTTTAGTATGTGGTATGGACACTATGAGTTCTTAGTCATACATTTTGGGGTGACTAATGTGCTAGTCATCTTTATGGATCTAATAAACAAAGTGTTCTTAGATTTTCTAGATCAATTCATTTTATAATTTCATAAATGATATTTTGTTTTTTTAGGAAAGTTCATGACAGAGATTTGAGAATTATTTTATAGACTCTAAGGAAGTATTAGTTATTTGAAAGTTTTTCAAATATGAGTTATGGTTAATGAATATTTCTTTTATAGGGCACCAGGTGAGTAGTACTGGTATCTCTATAGATCCCCAAAAAGTTTAGAAAGTTATTGATTGACCAAGACATACTATTGTATTTTCAATATATAGTTTTTGGGGTATGGCTGGATATCATAGAATGTTCATGAAAGTGTTTTCTTACATTTCTACTCCTCTTATGAAACTG